TGGTCGTCGGCGAAACAATATCACTGTCTACCAGAAAACTTGTTACAAGTGTCTCATTAAAAGAAATTGTTCTGCGTTACTAATGAACCCTTTACAGACACTATATACGTAAAAAAAAACACATACAAAAAGGTTTATAATGGTTGGGTGGATTTTCCTTCGACAGGGACAATTTGGTTTATGCGCGGTCGGGAGTCGTCATTAAATTGGTCAAATTTGATTTTCACACGTTATACCACGTACTGTATGTTTGGAAAAAAATTTAATTTGCAGGAAAAAACATATAGTAAAATTGCATGTAATGAAACCATAGTTATTGTGTGTTTTGTTTGGGTTCTGAAAAGTTGAATTCATTTTCAAAACTTTTGTTTGCGTATTTCTTTCATGAAATACGTGTAATATTATGATGTATCTATTGCATGTATGACGGTTAATATAGAAATATGTAAATCTGTTTAAATTATTGTTTTCAGTCATCGGAGCGGTCTCAGATTTTTTCACACATAAATGTTATATATTACCTACTATAAAATAAATGTGTACATTTTAATTTTAATTTATAATTGTGGATTAACGTAATTCAATAAATACTTGTTGTATTTATTTAAATATAAACAACTCTGTACAAACGAGGATTGATATATACTCGTAGGTCTCCCGATAATATTATTTTCGTCATAAAACAAGTAAAATATACAAGATTCGATCACATAATAGTTTAAGACATTTTTATTTTTTATTATTAAAAAGTTTTCTCCAACAATAATTTCCTGAAAAATATTTATTTATGCCTCATGATTTATTCTCGAAATATTGCATGCATTATTAGTGTTGCCGAAATACGTCTCTTTAAAAAGTAAAAAGATACAAATTTGTGTTCACTTGAAGGTAGCAAAAGTTTACAATTTTTGGTTTTAAATGCAATTAATGTAGGTATACGTGAACATGTTGAAACGTAGTTCGTCATATTTTGCAAAGCGTAAAGCGGTAAACTTCTTTAGACCGCTTCAAGTATTCACGCACGTAAAACGTATGTACACGACGAACAAGTTTCTTTCGCTTGGGGCACCCTCTTCTCACGCTTAATTCTCATTTGTACCATTCGACAAAACTTCGTTAAGGAAAATCAGAAAATCGTCGACCGTATTTTTGGCAACGAGACGACTGTGAGATTCGGCATAGTTACTTAAAACGAATTCTTGTACGAAAAGTACGTATACCTCGATGACGAATCTCTTCTATTAAAACATTCCAGATGTAAGATGATCGGATTCAACTTTAAATTACGTTATACGACCCGTGGTTTTAATACGTTTTCAGATGAAACTTTTGTACACCGTATTAAATTAAAACATTTCAATATCGTTTATAGTAAAATATTTTTTTTTAGTCACCAGTCAGCAGTGAAATCAAAATCAAAAATGAAACATTTAAATACGATAAGTACGATAGTTTCCTAACTCACATTTGTTTAGTTTGTTATATTATTACGTACACTCTTTATTTGTGATTATTATAATGAAATCATTTATTTATTTTGATTTGAAAATAGCAAATTATAAAGACATATGTAATAATAGCTGAATATTTTTTTTATATGTATTCCGGAGTTATTATTCGTTTCTTTAATAGCGAAAATTATAATTAGCATTTGAATACTGCGAGTATATATTTAAGATTTTCTGAAGAAAAATAAGTATTGTTATAACATAATGAGAACGTGATAAAATGTTAATACAAAAGGCTCGGACTAATGATACAACGTTTAATAATAATGAAAATAATTTCTATTTTATTTAAATGCCAATATTATAATAATGAATGTCAAAAATTCACCCTCCGGATTAAATTCCACTTATGTACAATGTAAACCCAGTGTGTGGAGTGGGGTGGGAAAGCATTACACATTACGAACGGCCTGTGTAAGTTTTCGCTATAAATTTGTAAGCTCCGATTAGTAACATAAAATATTTATTTTTTTTCAATTCTTATAATAAATCCATGATAAAATTTTAAATGCATTTTTTTATATGGATGAGCAATAATATTGTAATTACATGTTTCTATTAGCTGAAATTATTTTTAATCGTAAATATTTTACTCTAGGGCTGAATATAGAATATTGCAACCGGATTTGTGTGCTTATTTGAACAAAAACAAAACGCTATGCAGTCACCACGAGGAGGGAGATCGGTAAAAAAAAGTTTTCCGTAAAATGCTTCCCTATCGGACGAATTACGTTGAAAAGCTCGACTTTAATGTCATTGCTATTTGGTGGTTGGGTGTGTGTGTGTGTGTGTGTGTGTGTGTATGTATACATAGATACAGGAATGATAGACATGGTATATATAGCGAGGTCGTTACATTATATCATTATATGGCAGCGAAGCAGATAGAAGCCTTTTGGCTTAAATGTTTAAAGACGTATTAACCGTTTTATGGATTTTCAGTACCTAAAATTCCTGAACCGACCAACATTATAGAGTTGGTGATTCTAAAAGGGTTGACCACATAAAATATCGCTATGTATACCCATCAAAGTATGAGCGTAGTATTGGGATCATTACGTACCTACATTGCTGCTCTGTTGGCTATAAGTTATTATTTTAATTACGATTTATTGTGCCATGGTGAGATGCGACGACCTCGAGGGATTTAAACTTGTTTAGAAAAATACGAGTACGATACAGTAACATAGTTTTTTTTTCACATTCAGTGTACTGTACGAATTTAATTCAATAAAAGTTCAAAATAAATGGCCTCAGGTGAGTGAAAAGTCGAGTTTCCCTTTATCATATTTTTAGGTTTTTTATTTTTTATTTTTTATAATATGTATAATGTAATATTAATAACGATAAATGAGACTAGAGCAGCTTTTAAAATTTACGACCTTTGACCTTTTCAGCGTACATGCGTGTAAATACCGAAATTTTTGTCTCTCCACTTCTTGCCTTCACTATATTCTCCAAACGAGGTTAAACAGGACTTGTGATTTATGCCTAGCAATTACATGCGGTCAAAAGCCCACCGGGCGCGGGCCTGAGAATGCAATTAGGTTGCATCGTTGATGTACGACCAAAGTGAGAATTTTGAAGATTTTAATTTGCCACAATTGCTTCACCGTGTAAATGAGAGTACCGTTAATTTCGGAATGTTCTTTCAACTTGAAATTAGTTCGAAACGCCCGGAACACCTCCTCCTACTCCTTGCCACGAAAGCTCCCTATTACTTGTTATTCACCGTCTCCTTGTCAGACATTTTTTTTAACTGAAAAGTTATTAGCATTAATAACTCTTTAAATATCCCCTCAGGTAAATAAATAATTTCTCTAAAACAATTCCCAACGAAAAGTAACGAGGATATTAAACTAAAACGGATATTAAAACTACTATAGGTACCTATACTTTTTTTTTTTAATTATAAAAATATATTTTAAAAAATTTGACTTGTAATAAATAAAATTAAAAAAAGGAAGTTTAATTGAAATAATTTGACAAGAAAATGGCATTTGTTTTTTTTTTTTTTTTTGTGTGTATTCGCCGGTTACAATATAATTGAATTTATACGAGTACCATTTCTTCTATATACATACAAAACATTATATTACACACATATATGTATATATGTCAGTCTGTATTCAGTTACATACTTTCTTTATTCCGATATTCGTTGCAAAAAATAACATTGGTTCATGATATACCATTTATATTAATAGTTGTTTATTTTACGTTTTACTAGGAGTCATAATATATATATATATATATATAAATATATATACTGTCCGTAAACTATTAAAATATATAATAATATAACATTTCTTGATAAAAAACATACACATACATATTGCTCATAAACATATAAGTATGATATAAGGTAAATAGCGTGGAATGTGATCCAAATAGCCTGAAGCACTGCCAATTTGCCAATTTCGAAAAAAAACACATACTATCAAATATTTATAAAAATATTTGAAACTCATTATTAGACATAGGTACAAGAATTTTTAAAGGTAGGTAGTCAAGATTATATTGAATATTTAGGTACCATAAGTAAACATAACAAACTTCGTATAATTACGTAGATATAGTTGGTATATTCGTACCTACAAGTATATTAATGACATTCTTTTAAATTATAAGCTTATTTTGCATATTATATTAAAACTAATATTTTTGGTTATATATTATATGAATATGTTATAACGTAACAATAAATAATTTAATCAACTTGGATGAACAAAACGGTATTAACAAGATACTGTTAAATTAATATAAATTAGTATTAAATATTCAGTATTTTAGTATATAACTTGTAAAGGTTTAAAGGATCTTGAAAGTATGAAGGGAAATGATATTGTGGATTATACTAGTACTATGAGATCTAAAATAATTTATTCGTTTAAATTATTTTGAAAATATTTGAAAATTGAATATGTTTGTTAATGTTATTAGATTATTTTTAATATATTAACCTTTGAAGTGTACTTTAAACATTCATGTTTATCATTACTTTAACAATTTAAAATAGCCTTAATAGTTCGAGTGTAAAACACTAAAAATAATTGTTTTTTTTTTTGCGTGATAAATAAAATTATTTGGCGCATAAGACGTTCTAATATTAAAGGTTTTATTTTTTTCAATACACATCTATTCAGATATTAGCTCATAATAAGTGGTATTATAAAAGTGTTTATATAAATAAGGCATATTTGTTGAACATTTTTAATTTAAGTCATTTAAATCAATTGCAATAAGAATTCCATTAAATATAAAAGATCCTTAAGCTTTAATAATACGTTTTATTTTGAAGAAGTACCTATTTATTACAACAATTCAATGGGCGTGTAACGAAGATACTTAATTATTTTGTATCTTTATATACACTCAAAAATACTTATTTGAAATTATTTCAATCTAGTGTAATAGGTTATTAATGAAAAAATAGTTAAGCTTAAAGTTATTGTTTTTAACGTTAAAGAATAATTAATATTTTGTACGTACCTTGCAGCTTGAGTGGCTGATGTTGCTCAGGTTGAGCCGGTACACGTGATCCCTGAAAACCAAATTAACCAATGTTATATTATTAATTAATTAACGAAGTACGAATGGATGAATGTTCAAGAAGGGTGGGAGCACTAAGGTGATTAGTACTGTAATAGACAAGGGCCTGTCACTATTTAGACGATTGAAAAGTTTTCGACCCCACAGTGAACTGTCAGTAGGCAAAACTCGCGTAGGTCGATTCGTACCACCGGCTTCCGTATATATGTGTGCGGACTTTGGAATATTGACCAGGGATGGGAGAGGGGATGACAGAGAAATGATTAAACTTTAGAATTAATTTGGGATCAGAATTTATGTTTATATATATATATGAAATTGAATATGTGCTGTCGAGCTAATTACGGGGTGTATTTGGAAATTGGAATGTTTGTTTGGTATAGAGCACTACGCATCACACGTCACGGGCAAGATGATGATAATAATAATAATATGATCATGCTAAAAAGAGACGGACGTCTGCAGGCGTATCAAAGAGTTAAGTTTTGTCGATAGACGTATGCACGGAAAATGATATTCGCGCGCCAGTATAATCGTATAATGTGTATTATTATGATTGTCTAGGGTGTCAACGCAATGAAGGCGATAGCAATAATAATAATAATAATAATAATATACTTGAAATGTGTTATTCCACGTGAAAGTTTGTCACGTAGAGTCAAAATTTGCATTAACTTGGCATGCATTCGAATTCACATATATAGATATTGGAGAGAATTTTATCTTTTATTTTTGAAATCGTGGTTTTTATTTTCGACCTAAACCGTTGCTTTCATCAAGCATTCAAAGGTATTCGATAAAAATTTAATCATATTTTCGATTTTTAACCGTTATTATTAGGTAAAGGTATAAATTGTTATTTTTGTTTTATGTACCGATTATTGTTTAGAGCACATAAGCTCGGTAATATTAATAAATGAATTAGAAAAGAGACAAAAAAAAAAAAAAATAAATAAAACATAAATAGAAGAGTTTGGTAGTGTGAGTGGAATTGCTTATTCAAACGTTAGCTATATTAAAAAAACAAAAATAAATCTTCTTCCCAAAATGTAACTAAATCTTTGCATGTGTTCGTATATACTTTCGATGTTGTTGAGTAGTTTCTCATCTCAAGAAGTGCGATCAGTAGCATTATAAAACTTATGTTTCACGCATCTACGCGGGCTAAGAGAACCGTAAATCGCTATGAACACGATTATCGTGTTCCCGAATACATTAAAATAAAAAGCTGAAACGGTATTATGCACACCTTTCGAACGAGATATTCGCGTTGACCCGAGAACAGTGAATAATATTTTCGTGCCGGGTTGTCCACACCAAGATTATTATTGTTGTCAAACGTACCACTGTTCTTTGAAATCTTCAACAACGATAAACATACAACTTAAAAAATGTCCTGACCTATATTAATTGGTAATATAAAGATTTTCCGTTCATATTATTAATTTTCAAGTTATAACGCTTAAATTGATTATTGCGACGTGAACGTGTATTTGCTAATTTTTCTGAATATAAGTCCCGTATCAAACTATCAAGACGATCTTACAAATCCGACACAGCATCACTAACAACGAGCAAAATTATTATTGTTATCGACTACTTGTTGTACGAACCATTAATATTAATGTCATTATTTCTGAATGTTTCTTTAGCATCTGACGGACCTGGTCAGATTATATAGTTATTATTATTTATTGTTTTAGGTGTAAATGATTTTTATCTGCTTAAATTTTCTTTCTTTATTCTTTTTCGAAGGATAAAACAATATGCACGTTACTTCATTTATAACTCTACAGCACTAATATATATAATAGTTTTTGGCAGACAACAAGTAAAACCTTTATTAAATAATTATTACAGCTTTGTTCAACATAAATAATATTATATCTAAGATAGAAATTAAAAATTTTTGAATGAATGAAATTTTAAAGATTTGACTCTTCTACATGTTATAAATAAGATATTTATTGTAAATACAAGAATAACAATCATGGCCTTAAATTTTTTTGTTTAAAATGATAAGGTACTTTTCCATTTATTAAAAAAAATGATTACACAATTAAATTAATGAATTGACAAAATAATAAAAATAAAATTACTAACTACAAATTGTTATCACAATTTTTGTACAACCACAATAATTTATTGATATATAATATCTATATAAAATCACTATGAACTTAATAAAGTTTAGAAATAATATGAATATATATTTTTTTATCAGTTAACTTGACTATACATTTTTTTAATATACGCAGAGATTTGCCAGATTCATTATTACTTCGAATTATCTAAATATCTTAAAAATCTTTAAAGAAAAAATTGTTTACAATATAAAAATTGTCGATAATAATAAACGAAAATCGGTTTAAAATAATTTATTACATTTTTAACGACAATACAGCATTGAATGGTGCCAATGCAAACGAAGCGAAACCAATGTTCACTTCTGTTTAATATTTTGATTTTGGAGTACGTCATAATTGGAGAAAAATAATAACAATATAATTTTAAACCGTAATAATGGAACGGTAATTGTACATCTCGTCACGACTGCATAATACAGCTCAAGTTATTTTGATTTATTTGCGCGTTCGGTTGTGACACAATTTTTACCGCGTTTCAATTAAAAAACCAAATACTCATGTAATATTCCCGATCAAGAGTTATTTTATTTCACGAACGATTTCTTTTATGCCTCGCGGGGGTTAGCGCAACCATCTCGCCCTCGGTATGCACATTGCCGCAGCAGAGATCAATATCCAGCCAGATTACCATTACTTTCATACCACGGTGCCGGCGTTGACTTTTTATTTAATTATAAATTTTTTCGTCTACCCAACCGTGCGTTAATTTCATTTCGAGCGCCCAGTGGGTGCCACGCCGGCTCCGGTGCGGGGCGAGAGCGGTACAAATTGACGGGGAATTTTTCGTCCCAATAATTCGGAGGTGGGCGGGCAGCGAAAGCGGTATGGGTGAAAGGACGGCTTTTTAAAAACAGCCTTTAGAATGTCATAACGAAACGGCGTATAAATCAGCTGCAGACCCCTACAACAAGCTCACTCCGACCTTGCAGTGTATATAAATATATTATATTATATGGTGAACGCCGTGCCGCTATTCTTCTGCGGCGGCGAGAGATCGAACCGGAACGCGCCAATCGTCGGAGTACGACAACAGTGACGGGGTAGCAGACTGAGGAGTGAGAAAGAGAATTCAAGTATACATATATACACACACAGTGTGTGTGTGTGTGTGAGAGAGAGAGCATTATAGCTGCAACGGAAGAGACCAGATGAGAAGCGGGGGAGGGCGACTGTTTAATTTCACGGTTCGACTGGCAAACTCTATGCTATTTACTATATTATATATATATAATATATATATGTATAAATATAATATATATGAGTGTGCGTTTGTTTCTGTGTGAGTGTGGCTCGTTATTTAGTTCACAAAACAAACATACGATACGGCAATGATGAGCCGCCGCGGAACTCGCAGTGGAGATACCGCGGTTAAGATCTGGTTTTTTTATTTTGTTTGTTTGGTTTATACCATGCGCGCTGTGGATGTATGGCGCGGCGCGGTGAATGCGAGTGTAAAGAAAGCCTATCGATATTTAATATTGCATAGATTTACTTTAATTCTCATTAATTAACAATGACGAGGGTGACGACCGGAGACATCGCACGGTAGTCGTTCGTTCTTGTTGATAGTTAATGTCCTTGAAAATACATCCGTTTATCTTGAAAAGTTTTTCAATGCGCATTGGATTAATGATAAAGTTTATAACATCCCGAAATCAAATTTTCATAAATATTTATTGCCATCATCGTTCGATAAAATAAACATTTAAAAGTACTGTTTATCATTTTGTTTTTACTAATAAATTATGTGTAATTAGATTTTTTGTAAATAATAGAATAGTATGTTTCAAACAAAGATGTGTAACATATGTATATATATATACGATTTTATTTGTATTTGTATTCAATAAAAAATTAAGAGAATGGTTTTAATAAAATATATATTAGTAGGTAGAAAATAATTTAATACATTAACCAAGCTTATAATATTATTGTTAGTAAATCGAATATAAAATATTAAGTAGAGATAGTTTTATAGATTAGCTTATAACTTTACAGATAAAATAATATTAGGTTGTTCGATAGTTTGAATCTATTAATATTTATAACGACAAGTTTATTTTATATTATTAATTTCAATGGTATTTGTACACGAATTGTAATATTGATGAAATGTTCGGTATTTTTTTTCAAACCATAAAATGAAAGGTTTATTTTGCATAAACAACTTAAAAAATCATTTGTGATAGGCATAATAATATCGTCATATAATTCTAAGGAAAATAATGTTATGTATACCTACTTTTAATAGAAATTTACGTATTATATAAAAAAATATAAAAAATTTTAAATATTAAATTCAGTTTGAATAAAATAAAACAAAATATGTATGTAAATATTTAATATTAACAATATAAACAAAAATTCAATATATTGCACGTGTATTGTTTTCACGAAACCCAAGTGCGCAGTTTTTAAGTTTTAATGTATTTTTTTTTTTTCATTTGCCGTGAACGTGTTGTGTATATTAGACAACGTGTTCCAAATATGCAAAATTATCTCACTTTAACTCCTTAAACTTGGCTATTACCAAATAAACTTTTAGTGGTCGTCGGAGAGCAGGTTAAAAAAATACCGTCAAACGTTTTTATGGAAAAGTATCAAAAAAAAAAAAAGCTTACAAAAATCCCTTATGCACCGTCAGTTTGTCATTTTTTAAATCGTATTTTTTCCAAAATCAATAAGATATCGTTTTCCATCGATGTTTATCCATAATAATTATGATTATACTCTCAAGATACTTTTCGTTAGCCTTTGCCGTGCTCACATTACATCGAAATATTTTGGAAGCATGACGCAGCGCGATATTGAACGGACTTGTTGTGTATTATATTTATACACTATG